TAGGATGTCTGTCGATGGATGAATCAATAGGCATATTTAGAGTGCATACAATGCCAAATTGGTAAAATCGTGCATAGAGGGTGGGATTGCAAGAGGTGGCGACTTCTCAAAGTTTGAAAATCTGCCACCCTTTAATTACACCACAGGCCAGTGGCTTTCTTCTGTCTGAAGTTCGGATAAGCAAAGTATTTCGAAACCGCCCACAGCTTTCCCGCCACATACTTGCTTCGTCTCGTCCCGTTGACGATCGCAATGAATATGGACGGACAAGAGAATAAACAGTGCTAAGGGGCGCGTCGACTTGCTTGGATATAAAGCAAATCAAGCTTAACTCAACACCTGGACGCGAAATGTTCGTGGAGATAATCATCCGAGGCAAAGAAGTCTTTGCATTTTCGTTGCTACTACGTTGCACCACAGCCTGCATTTCAAGGTTTGTTTCATGGATGGTGCTCGAGAATATTCTATCTATATGTCTTTCCTGGCTGGCTTGTATAGCCTATGCTGCCCATACTGGGGACTATGCTGTGTTCATCTATCAAAATCTTTCCTGATCATGGTTGAGACCATGGCGGAGGTCAATGCTACCAGAAAGGCTTGGGTAAATGCTCACCGGTAGCTAGTGGCCCAGCACGATATACAACATTTGCATACGAATCGGGGACACTCCAAGTAACCCCTATATCGCCTTCAAGAACTCCGCGCCCTGCAGACTATACATCCGGGGAGCCGGAGCAGCTCATGAGTGGTACATGGATGCTGTAATTTCAAGAGTATGTTATCAAAGGTCAGTTCTAGGCTTCAGACGATAAGAGATCAAATTAGGGCACTATGCGTGGTGTCGTAGTTGACTTATCTTGATTTCAAAGCATCTGGAAGTTGAGAATAAACCACACATATTTACCTGCTTGTTTGTGTTACGGCAGGATGGTGATGAGTGTTGGATAATAAGAGGTGCGTAAGGGCTGAGATGATACGCTACAAAACCTGTGGTAACACCCTCTTATTTTATTTGATGCTTTGCATTAGCTCCATATCTCGGTCCCGACATGGAGGATGGATGGATATAATGATAAAAGTGTGGCGAGAAATGTCTTCGGCTGTAACCGAATCTGTTTAATTTATCACGACATCATCATCAATTTATCTGTGTCTTGCATAGTTAGCAATCTTGGTTAAATTCCTCCGAAAAGACGCATGTATCGTGGGTATCTTTTGGTGGAGGACAGTTGAGAAGTATGATTATCTAGGGTCGAGATATGTCATAAAGCACAACACTGGCATGGTGATCTGTTGAACTATATAGCGATGCACATAGCCAAATCATAGATTTCATGCTCGATTTTGCTAATGCGTTGATCAAATCTCTTTTTCCTCTCACATGAGATTATCGTTGCAGTGATTTTGAACGCCGTTTTGGGATACCCCTTTCCCAAAGGCACAGGAGATGCATATTCTCATAATATCTCATCTCGACCTACTGAACTTAAAATCATAAACTGTAAGCTATCTAACAAATCCGCTAATACTACTTTCTACACACGTGGCAATCCATTTCTCCTCGCCCGTGCCTATTTCCTTTGTTTGTGTAACACATGGTTGCACAGTTATCTTTAATCCATAATCCTACAAGTATCCACCAACTCGTTGGTGACCCTCCGCATTCGAGCACATATTTCCATCATATATCAATATTCTCCTCATATTTTCCCTTGTATATTACTTGAAAGTTTGTGCAGAAAGGAATCTAATCTCGCTTACCTTCATTACCCATCTCGTATGTTTGAGCGAAGCTAGGTATTCATACAAAAACTATAAGAAAACGAGCGGAGCGGGTGGATGATTAGGGGATTTGATCTAAGGGTGGTAATGGGTCCGGGACGGTATCTGGAGCACACGTGTTGATATTGTAGAAGACATGGGTGCCGAACGAGAAACGGCATGAATACATTAGGGCAGCGGGCCCAATTAAGACACAATCATACATATGGATATCTTGTAGTAGAACAAGTTTCATATGTATATATAGATTGGCGGAGTATTACACTTAGGTATCTTTGGATCTGTATACAGCACGTGTTCGGCATGTTGAGAAGGGCGGGGTATAGAATATGAGATTAGTCTTAGACATTTACCGTGTGCTAAAAATTCATATGTACTTCGACGAGTTCGATGCTTTCTACTTGGCATGGGAAGTATCTCTACGCGTGTTAATATTCGGCAACGGTATACCGAAAAGTAGGGATTCTTAGACATTTCCGCGTCTCATATGTACATTTTGACATTTGCAGTTGAAATCGGCATGGCGACTGTTGTGAAAACAAGTTTTGCGATCGATGGCGATGGCGATTACGATGAGAGTCATTTATTTCTCGTGTTAGCAGATTCGTGCCGTTACAATTTACTAGGTAGCTTCCCGTGAATGGGTGTGCTGCGGTGATCACGAGATTGATGCTCCACTCCACCTTCAAATACCGCTCGTCCCGTATCCCATCTTCGGATACTTCTTCATATCTGGAAACTTGTCATCACACACACCTTTCTCCTTATCTTTCGCAGTAGTAGCGAAGCTTCTACGTCACCAGGGAGAGTACCTTATCGCGCGATCCATCATCCATCTCATTTATCTAGAGTGGGTAGCCTCTCATACATTCATGGATATTTCCCCGAGACATCAAAAAGTTGATACCCGGTCTTGGTAAAGCAAGACATACATCGCTAGCTTGAAGGAGTAGGGTAGTAGTACTACAGTATGAAATCAGTCGAAGAAACATGGATTCTAATTTTATTATTATTTAACATCTCGGGACTTGATCCTCCCCCACTTTTGTCGTTTCGGCACTTGAAAACTAGATGGAGAAATGAAGTTTGATCATATCGCATGCTCCCTTTTTCACTCACGACTCAACTCTGGTCATTTACTTGGGTCGTATTGGTTCGCGAATTTGGCCGCGTGATTGATACCTACTTAACAGTAGGTAGGTATCCATGATTGCGATTTGTTATATTTAGCTTCAGCCACAGAGTTGTGGCTGTACTCGAAGGTGATGAGATGGATCCATTGAGAATGAAAGAACAAATGGAAGAATCATAAAGGAGATGGGGATGGCTTTGTTGCATGTCTGAATTTCGACGGGCTTGAAATTGGTGAGACCAGATGAGTGTGAATATTAGTTTGGGTGGAGGTCAGATGACAGGCATTGTTATATGGAAGTTAGGTATTGGGGTGGACAACTTGACTTGGAAATTTAGAAAGCTATTGATTTAGCATGCGTCGCCAATGCACCCTTAGGCAATAGCTAGGTTCTTCTAATCTTCATCAACTTCCTAGGATGAATTCGCGGCGAATGCCTAGACTGTTTTTGTCATCTGCTCTTTGCATCATTGCTACCGTTTTTCGCTGACACTTTAATTTCGTGTTATTTAATCTTGTTTCACAACTATATCTAATTTCTGTGCGAGTGTTACACATATCTTCAAGAAATCATCGCGAAAATAGATTGAAAGTTCATGCGCCACTGACTTGACATGAACTCCTATTGTCTCTCTATTTTATATCTTCTAGGCTCTACATTGGCATTGACAGAACTAACGGGTAAGTAAGGCCATCATATACATCCCCATCTCATGCGGAGTGATAACTATGTACTCGAACTCTTGGATTCGCACACGGTATCCCCCAAAGGTATGGCTTTTGAGCCTAATACTCTGTGTTCACTGGTATTATCGCAGGTCATTTTCACTGGCACCTCCCATTTACGCGATGCTCGAGTCAACGAATCTCTGACATCATAAAGACTCACTGTTCCTTTAGTGTCCTTCTCATGGGTATTGATTGCAAACTTCAACTTTGAAGTAACGCTCTCTGCAGAATCAGCTTGCTGAAGATATCCCAAACTTCTGAAAAGATAAGCTGCCAACATCCGCTGACATACAGCCTTGGGCGCATTTTTCAACAACTGCACATTTTTCAAATCATCTCATCACAGCTGGACTCTGCGATCGATCTCTTTATTCCTATTGTGCCCCAATTGGGTGCTGTTTTCTCGTATTTTACTTGTTGCTAGTAGTCATCGATATCACTACTTGATAATCTTTCGTTGGAAGTAAATGTACTTCCTTGTGGGTTCGTGTTTCGTCCACCACATTGGACTACACTCCCCTCGACTTAAACCATATACCAAGCAGCTGATTGTTTGAAAGGCTGTTTGTTAATTTTCCCTCATTCGAGATGAGACCTACGAATGCCATCTCGAGCAAGGAGCTCCCGGAGCTGTCCAGAAATTCTTTGATAAGCAATTAAACTTTAAAAGCTTTCTTCCAGTGTATATGCATTAAAAGTGGATTTTGTGATGCATTGGAGGTATTTATTTTCGTCGGGCAGGTTCACGCTATTCACATGGCCAAAGTATAGACTTTCGGAGGCACCACTGTGAAAGATTTCCTCAAAATGAGTTTGCAAGTAATAATTCATATTTGTTGAGGCCGAGTAGGTTCATTGCAATGGACAGGCTTAGATGAATAGAACTTCCCGACTAGACGAACGGATTCTCACATCATTTGAGTTTTTCAATTCCAGTCTCACAAAAGCTTTAAAGTCATCAATAATTGTCGGGATATCGATCATGTGATCAAAGAGGACACTGTATTAGCTAGCGTGGCGCTAGCACTTCACTATATTAAATACTAGCTTCCCATAGATAATAATGATCAAGAACGAATACAACCATAATAGACCAAAGTACTTACACTTATCAACCAAGTTGATACCAACAATAACATACACTGATCTGAATGTTCTTCGTTTGACATACAATTCGTTTTCTGGATAGATACCATCCAATCATATCAAGATAAATATAGATATGGCTTCTATGCATAGCCACAACGCCAAGGAATCCTTTCTTGTTACCTACCTAGGTAGCTGGGCTTACATTTCAGCCCCAGTCTAGTTTACACTCCCCTCATCACCATTAACTTGTGGAGCGAGCCTGATTAAAAATTCAACCTCTTTTGTTTCCCGTCTTTTCTTATTCTTGCGCTCATCCAACTTTCCACCTCCCCGCTCTTCGTTCCGCTCCGCTTGCTCACTTCGCCTAAACTATTTCCTGTATAGTGCAATCCCGCCCCACTCAGTGTCTCTAGGCCAATGAGCTGCAATATGAATCCCTCTGTTCTCGTCACTCTCTGGTTCATACAGCTCCCCCTCGGAGCCTACACTACCTATATCGACATCAGCTATTTCCTAGCCCTTTCGTTACGCCAACATGTAATGCCACTGCCTTTGTATGTTTCATTTTGTCTCCAAATACATATTTATCAAGTCCCATGGTGATAACATGTTCTAATTCTCACCTCACTTATTCCACTTTTTTCAGTCTATGATCCCCCTCAATTATACCACCTACACACTCCGAACTCAATCCCTTATTAGTCTCTCTAATCACCGCCATCTTCCTCACGTTCCCCACTGATAATTCTTTTAGTGGTTCCCGCATAGTCCCTGTCACGTCTCTCATTGGCTTTATTCTCCTCCTCTGCGAACCGTATTTCCACTTCATATCCGTCAACCGCCTGAGGCCTTCTTACTATTCCCTATCCAATCTCTTCCGAGTCATTCATGTGACTTTTCGTTTATCAGTTATTTTTGGCACTTTACGAAGCGATCGAAGGTACCGTTATGCATACTTTGCATGGGCACGACTGATAATTTTGCTGTATGTATTCATCTTGCTATTGCTAAATGATCCCACAAACAAATATGATAATCGCCCCCCTCCCGTCCCTCTAATTGTAATGCCATATCAGAATGCTGATATATATGTATAAAAGATTTTCATACTGCACAGCATTAGCGTACGGCTCATGGACCTGGTATCTGCTGTGGCGAAATCGTCGTGATAGCAATGACAACGTTAACGAGGATGATGATGAGAGTTATATTGAACCCGGAATGAATCTTGTACCGCGCAAGATTCTCAGTCCATCTAATCTCACCTCCCGGAACAATTTTATTATTAAAACAATGCTTTGGATTCATGCGCCGCTTCACGTGATATCAAATGATCCTAGCTCCAACTTCGAGGAAAGAAGGGTCTGGGGGAAGTTGGCGGTGATAGTCGTTTGGGGATCGAAAGTTCTTGGAGTTGGTTATATGCTTTTAAAAAGTTTCATTGGGACGCCCGCCCTTCTATCCCTAGTGCGTATATCCAGTCTCCGTTCTTTTGCCAGAAGTCAGACTGTGTGAGTGAGTCTGCCAAGCTAACTGATCTCAAAGATCCCTTTACACCCACGATTTCCTGGTGAACTCTCAATTCAAATCACACAAAACGCCCGCAGTAAGTGGATCTACAACAGACCAAAACTAGGACGCCATGACCAAGTAAAAGCACCTTTGCAAGGCCGACAGCCTTTTCTTGCTTCATTACGAGAACGCCCACTACCTACAGATATCACCCACTTTGACGAAGAAGCTAATCACTCTACCGATATCATGAGTCTTCACAGCATCGCTGATTACAGCGAAGTTCCCACCCATCATCCATCTACATCGCTCAACACAAGCGACGTTCCGGACCGACAACTCGGCCCCTCTTACCTCTGTTTCTTGGACCCTTCCTCATCTACCGGCTACACCACTCGTCACGTATCTACTTGGGCTCAATCACATGGAAACAGTTACCCTAATTACATATTCATATCTTATACCCGCCTTCAATTCTATACCATCATTTCCGGAGATCCCAGTTTGCCATCTTCTATTAATGCTCAACGACAGGCTGCCGCGGAGCAGGACATGGGAATGCTTATCCAGTTCGCGATACGTGCTACGAAGACCGCAGGTATTGATGCTTTTTGGATAGATTATGAGTGTATACGTCCCGAAGAAGATGAAGATCCGGACAGAAGTATAGGAGAAGTATATCGAATATGTGATATCGTACGGGCATGTCACTCAATGGCTATAGTTGTTGGACCACGATTTAACTTTACCAATTACACTCATGATGCCATGGAGGGGGATTCAGATGATCTTTCAAATACAAAAACACAGTGGCTACGAGACTGGGGAAGTCGTCTCTGGACTGTTCCCGAAGCTCTCCTGTGTCCAGGCGAACACCGCATTTCGATTTACATACCTGGTACCGCTGAGCCCGAGTTAGTCGCAAAACGGAATCTTCCAGGTCGTGTTTGGGATGATGCTATTGCCTTACGCCAGTTGATTGATCACTATGAATCTTCAATTCATCTCACGAAGTTGGAGTTGATTTCCATTGCCCTTGAATGTCTCAAGCGGCGCCAAACGGAGAAACGCATGGCCGGCGACGTAGCATATGCTCTGCAGGGATTACTTCGTCAACGTCCTCGAGTTCTTCAATCCGATAGTGATTTCCAGGCTTTTGCAAGACTTTCTCTTGCCAACGATAGTGATATGCTTCTTGAACGACTTCTCTGCCTCAAATTGAAGGATAATCGGGCACCATGGCATGAGATGCAAGATGTTTGGGGAGCAAAATTATGGGATATCACGCCGATTTGTCAGATTTCTGAAGTGGTGGAGAACAATACTGTGATATTAGGGGATGCGAAAGGTGCGATGGTAAATTGGGAGTTTCTTGAAGCAATTGATTATGAGGCTACACGTCCACAAAGATTTGGTTGGGGACTGCTGAGAATATGTTCGTATTTCAGTATGGTGTTTATGGTTTCTGTGGTGGTGATGTCTCCTCTCTGGTCTCAAAGATCTGGCAGAAGGTTCGATATATTTTTCTCGAACTTCTGGAAGGTAGCTTTGGGTGTGTTCGTGGCGAATGCCATTATAGTACCGTGGGTAGTCCGATACCTTTACAAGAGTCCCGAAGTCCATCAAGCGCAGGCTAGACTGTATGGCGTAGCTGGGCATCCAAATTTGGGGAGGGTGGAAGAGCTGATGTTTGGATCTGATCAAGGTCGCTTACAGTGGATGGAAGGAGGGGATAATGTGGCTGATCATCCCGACGGTGACGAATATAGCTATGAAAGCGGACTGAGATCGTTCACACTTATAGATACATGCACACTATCAGCGTTTCAATTCGAAGCCGAGCTTCCGCCATCAGTAGTATTGGCAGGTGCGCGCGCTCGTGGACTAGTACGGATGCTTTTGTGTTCTTACGATGCAAACACGGCGACATTGTATAAAGAGGCGGTTGTGCGGATGGAAACTGTCGTACTTGACCGGATGCCAAAATTGAATCGGGTGCGGTTTGCTTTGAAGCCGACGAGGGATGATGTGATAGCAGATAGTAGATAATGTAGACGCAAAATGCCGGCTTCGAATTCTTCACTTTGTCTTGCCTAGATTTGTCTGGAAATAAAGATCTGTGTAGCACTAGTTGAATATAAATGATACTCTTGCTTTCGCGAAATACATAATGTTTGACAAACGATTGTTATCATATATAGCAGTCAAACAAAACTCTGGCACTTGTACTAAATATTAGGAACATCAAAGCTGTTGTAGTAGATCTTACACTCCCCCAAAAGAAGGGACATAATCCACTGCTATAAGCTGAAGCAAAACAACAATGATTATCGGGTCGTCGACTCGGGAGCCTTAAGAACTATGTTAATGAATAGGACAACTCGACCTCAGACAATCGACATTTTGAGGCTGCTGAATCTAGTGAAGTGCCACTTTTTGTTGTTCGAATATAGAGCAATCATTTCAATCTGTATGGTGGAATACTAGGATTGTCGACCGAGTATTCCGAGTCAGTACAAAGGAAATTTTATCGAGGGCAATGAGGCTCTCTGCTGTATTTATTACCTTTGTTATGATTGACCCGTACCTGCATTGCATAGCCGCGTTATACGGACTTCCTTTGTGTTTGAGTTTTCAACTGAGCAGTCTTGGACTATTTTAATAGAATATATCTGTGAAATGTACATTCTAGTTCAACAGTAAATGGTTTATGTTCGCTCCTTTAGCTCAGTGGTAGAGCGGAAGATTGCAGTTTCGCACAATTATCTTCAGGTCAATCGTTCGAACCGGTTAGGGAGCTTCAATTGCTCCAATGTGACATGCCCATTATTTTTACAATTTTTTTCCCATCGAGTATGGTCTTTTTTGCCCAACACTCTTCTTTTTTTTTTTTTGAAAAAAAAAAAAGATCCTGTTCTCATCGTTCTGTACTTGAATGATTCACGAAGCTTAGTCAGCCAGTCAAGTGGACACAGCCTTCGGAAGTTCGGAATAGTGTTAGCTTCTGAGTCTCTTAGCTAAACACGTGGAGATCCGGAGATAATCATCTGATAAGTGGAAGCGAGATAACCCCTTCATCTCTCCACTCTCACCGCATCACCAAGCAAAATTCACATCAACAAAGAACATCAAACGTGATTCTTATCCTCGTACCAATTAGAGTTTCTAGATGCTTAAACACATCTAGTAATCACAGTAATAAGGTCAGACTCTCGGCTTGAAGTTCGCCGTGCGACCGCTGGTGGGTACTGGCATTGATGGTAGGAAAGATGGTTGTTTAACCACATCATCGGAGCAATATCTTCTTCCGGAAGGCCCTTCTTCAAAGTCAAGGATTACACCGCGGTATCCTACAGGCTACAGCTCTAATATACGGAGAGATGCCGGTACTCTACAAGATACAAGCTCACAAGCTTTGTTCCCCTCTTGTCCATCTAAACTATACTCGATCTAATCACGAACTCCTTACATTTTTTCACGTGCGTATGGAAAAATAATTGCTTGGCCTCACAGAAGGTGAAAAGTGACAGGTACCGTGCGTGGATCACATTCTTGTAATCTCCGCAATTCCACTTCACAAGGTACCAAGTCGACCCCGCTTTTTTGAGGTGAGGTGAATGGACAATTGCGTTTCTCTTCTGTGAGTTTGTGTATATAATGGTTTGATTAACCCGGCGATAGGAGGTTACAGAAGCTCTTCTCGCTGTCGCTTTCTAGGTCTCCAAGTCAATCTTTGAAACTGTACACTCTTCAGTTCTGCACCGAGCCATCAATCATGCGTTTCGCAACTGCATCTTTAGCATTGCTTCCAGCTGTTGCCCAGGCAGTTAACATTGTTTCTGCAAACGATGATGGCTGGGCCGAGATTAATATCAGAACTCTGTACAATTCTCTGACCAGTGCGGGACATGATGTTCTCGTATCTGCCCCTGCAGAGAACAAGAGTGGTGCAGGTATGAAAGATAGCCTCCTTCAGCATTCTAAGGAATAAATCTAATTATTAGAAAAGGTTCTCTAACTGGTACACCTACTGTCCTCACTGAGGCATGCGAATTTAATTCCTGTCCAAGCGGGAGTCCAGCAGTAGGCTATAATAGCTCAGCTCCTCAATTCAACTACGTCAACTCTTACCCTGCGACTGCAATGGAGTATGGCATCGAAACGTTGGCCCCAGGATACTTTGGAGGTGCCCCCGACCTTGCTGTCACTGGACCAAACGTCGGAGGTATGTATTTGGCTGCAATGGAGGTTGACAAAATGAAGACTAATGACTGATAGTCAACACTGGTGTTATATCTTTCGTCTCTGGTACTGTTGGAGCAGCGATTGAGGCCGTATCGCTCGGTGTACCAGCAATTGCCTTCAGTGGAGCCGAAGGATCCGCAACGGCCTGGAATGTTGCAGCACCCGCCTATGCCACTATCTATGGCGAATTAGGTGCAATAGTAGTCGATGCTATCGTTGCTTCCGGTACCCCATATCTCCCAGACGAAACGTTCTTAAATGTCAACTTTCCTGAAACTACCGATTGCACATCGGCGTCTGACTTCAGCTTCGTTCTTTCCAGAATTTACACTGCAGTTCCATTGGTTAGTGGTACTGATGTCGTAACTTGCAACAATGGAGGTAGACTCCCTACTGAGACCAAAGTTGTTGGAACCGATGGATGCTATGTCAGTATCAGTCTTGGTGGAACAAACAAGAGGGATAGTAGTGCTGCCAACCAAGCAGTCGTTTTGAGCAAGCTCTCTAGTATTCTTACATGCTTACCTTGATTGAGAGGGACATTAGCCCAACATCATGGGCGGGGAATTCGAGAAGACGTTTCATCTGGATTCATTAAAACAGATATCCAAATTCAAAGTCATACCGAATCAAACTCCCGTTTTGTAAGCTGTACCGGGCGCGAAAGTGAATACCCTGTTAGTGGGCGTGAAATATTTCAAAGAGAATGGTACCTGATCATTTGCAACTATTGTGTCCAATCTGTACCACTCATGATCCACGTTAGACCAATGACTCTTCGTCGAAGCTAGAAGGTCTCTCCATAAACCTGTGCACGTAAAAATCGGCAAAAAATGCGTAATGATCAAAGTTCTCAGTACAATGAAATACCATTGACAAGTCGCACCCTAGTAATAAGATGGAATTTTTGCAGGCCGGATAGTGTTTGTAGCCGTAACTATTCTTCTATCCTCGGTTATAAAATTCGAACGATGCTGAGCTTTCATCCCAACCATAGTATGGAGGACTTTGCAGGATGTGATCCTGGAGTCTTCGTTGGCTAACATGTTGGTTAAAATATCTTAGTGCTTTGGCTTGCCACTGTACGGAGGCTTGTGGAGATCGCAATGTATGAACCGCGACTTCGTTGGAGGGCCAAACTGCAGGTCGTTCAAAATGGATACCAAAGACGATGGACAATTGTAGATGCGAGGTTGACTGATTAGTTAATTTTGTATGTGATGTCGTTTGATCTATACACCACTGTCTCTGCGTGGGTACGCACATTCCATGTTTCAAAATGGTAAAAAGAATGGTCGTGCATTTCGAAAGAGATCACACAAAAGACCAGGTACGACATATGAGAATTGGTCAGGTCACGTGTTGTGTTAATATTATCTTATCTAATCATCATGTGGGCCAGTGTACAACTTCAATCACAAACAATCAAACTGTAGGCCACTTGACTTGCAGATTTTGAACCTGATAACTTTGAATTCTGTCCGTAGATGGACTATCTGTTCGATTCCACTTCAAATCTTCTGATCTCCCCCTCGAACGTCTCGCATGGATCACGCCAAAAGAATCGACCTTGCCTGTGTTGAATGCCGACGAAGGAAGCGCAAATGCGACGGGAGAAACCCACAATGTTCTTCATGCCAGGCTCAAGAAAGGGAGTGTGTTTACGACAAAGAGCGAAGCAATCGAAAGTGAGGATGAACTTTGATCTCTACTTTCTAGTACTGTCAAAGTAGAGTTAGAGCTTGCTAATCTATTTCCGCTCAGACGCAAGAGAGACCCAGAAGAGGTTGAACAACTCGAAGAACAAATTGAGATCCTTCTACAAAGGGTAAAAGAGTTAGAGAATGAAGCTTCTTCTGGTAACCCTACGCGCAATGCTACTCTAGGATCAACATCTTCGCCCACAAGGCCAGGTATGGATGGGCTTTCTGGAGCTCCTTCTAACCAAGAAACACGATCGGCTTCTGCAGTCGACGAGGTAGGAAATCTGATGTGGAAGCTTAAGATAGATAGCAACGGAGACACTTCATTTATTGGCCCGTCGTCTAACCTCCAGTTTATATCTGCTGCTCAAGAATCCAGAAGTGACAGCCAGCTTCAAAGCAATCCGAGAATCACGGCATCTGATATGCCTTCGTTAGACCAGTGTCTTGCGGATAAGGCGTTACAACAGGAGCTCTTTGATGTCTTTAACTCTGTTTTGAACCCAAACAATCAATTTCTTGATCCGTTTTTTCTCAACAACTTCGATGTTCTTTCTACTGGAGCTGACTTGGATGAGATATTGCTACGAACTGCAATGTTTGCTCTTGCAGCTTGTTTTTCCGCGAGAGAAAATGCTACTCATATCGGCGATATGTTTTACAAGAGTGCTGAGAATATTGTCCAGCAGTGTTGTCGAAGCTGTCCATCGCTTGTTACCGTTCGGGCGTTGGCAATGCTGTGCTGGCGGGATCTCACCTTAGACAATGAAAATACGGCCTGGATGTATAATTGTTAGTCTCATTGAAAGTCCTAAGAGCATTGATCATTAACCAGTATCTTCTCTTAATAGGTATGGGCGCAGCTCTAACAACACAACTTGGCTTGCATGTGGTGAATCTGCAGAATATCGCAGGTATCTCACCTGAAAGCAAAGACTCGCGTATCCGAACATTCTGGCTTTGGTTTCGGATCGACCGGTAAGCTTGGCAAATATATTTATGGATATCGACTAATTTTCAAAGAATTGCTACATTCAGCTTAGGAAGACAATGCTGTATACCATGGACTCGTGTCAGAACTCCATGGTTGGAGAGTATTCTAACATCATCAGCGACGCTCCCAGAGCTCGTTTTCAATTACGAGTGTCAGCTTCTTTTTTTATTCGACAAATATATGGATCAAATGTATGGTCAGCTAGGTATAGCATCCAATTTTCATTGCTAATAGCTTTAGTTACTCATTCCAGTTCCATGAATTGGACAACCAAAGCCGCAATAAACTTTTATTCGATGCCCGCGAAGCCTTATGTACCTTCTATAATGAAATGAATAGACAGCTATCGAGCGAACGGAACGGACAGTCTAGCACCACTATCAGTCTTCGAATGACATATCACATGTGCCTCATATTGGTGCAGCGACCCCTATTGCGCGAAGACTCCAATGGTGCTCTTTACCGCATGGCTGTGCAATCATCAAACTCTTCAGCTGTCGCTATCACGAATTTGCTCCGAGACTATCGAAAAGCCGGATATCTCCGAACCGCTCCTTTTGTCGTAGTACACCATGTTCTTACCGCAGCCATTATGCATCTGCTTAGTGTAACCTCCTCGAATGGTTCTTTGCGTAAGCGATCAATTACTCGATTCCGAGAGTGTATAGAAGCGCTAGGAGAAATGAAGTATGCTTGGAAGCGATTGCGAAAGGCCATCGCGTTGCTTCAAGAACTTGCGCATAGATGGTCTGTAGTATTTGCATTGCCAATGCGACTAAGCTATCCTCTGCCCGCGCACTCCCAAAATGATATTTCAAGCGAGCATAAAGATCAATCATCGATGGAATACCAAATCACAGCCTCTTCGGAAACACACAACAAAGACGACAATTTTGCAAATTCCTACTCGGCCGACAAGCTCGAAAATCTTCCTTTGAAGGACGATCTTCCTGAAGCAGAAATTAAGGAAGGTAGAGGTTTTGCAAATTCTGACTTCACGCTGGGAATTTATGAGATGGGCGACCCGTTTCAGTTAAACGATATGAATTGGTTATTTCCTCCTTTAGATCAACCTTAAACAACTGTTTCTCTATCTTTACGAGTGGATACCTCGCTCTTCTCCAACACGAAGACCTCATTTAGGTCCAGAGAAAGTCAACGCAGTTGTTGTATCCGCCCATGATCGTATCCTCTTTCCAAATGTATACATTGGGACTGTCGTCAGCATGATACCTAAAGTCAACGCCGTAAAAGTTGAGAAAAATACAAGAGGGCCGGCTGTAGTATAATAATCGTTAAATACGAACGTGAGACCGAAAGCAAAGGCGCTTTTAATAATCTAAAATAAATGTTAGACAATTGCTTCCTCATCTTGTCTTCAAAGAAACGATAGCTTACCATAGCAAGACCAAAGGCTTCACCGGATCGTTGGCCGCATACATCGTTGGTGTATGCAACAACGCCGGTGCACCCAGCACCAACCGCAAAATTTAAAATCGCCATAAAAACACCGCACGTGACTGGCGAGAGGCCTTTATCAATGGCAGCTGCAAGACCAAATCCACCAACAGCCATGGCAATAAATGCCGGTATAATGATAAGAAGACGAAACTCTGGCTCATACATACCACGATTGCGTAGTGCCAGATATCCGACTATCTTGTCGCAAGCCCACCCCGCTGTGAGTGTTCCTATTGTGGATCCAATCAAAGGTGCGATTCCTGCAAGGTTTCCGACTGCGGTTGTGCTCATGCTATATGGTTCTGCTCCAAAGATTTGAGAGACCACAGTGCCGATTAGAATGATCCATGTAAAAACCACCGACCACATTAGACATCCCCAAAGGACTGCTGGGTGTGCTAAGAGGATAATTGGATCTACACAAAGCTTGAAGACACGACTTTGGTCGCGAAACTTTACAGCGCCAAACCCAAAATGATATTTCCAACTGGATACTTGAGAATACCTCTCAACATCTAAGCTTTTGACCTCATGATTTGGTGAGCTTATGATCGATGCTGGTTGTTCTGATTTGTCTTTTGGGGGAGTTGAGTTATCACCGGAGATATCGACTTCAACGGAGTTATCTAAGGCTACATTGCGGTAGAAAGTCGTCTCGGGGAAGCAGACGAGGGTTGCTGCCAGAATCACAACCCAAAGAATTGCTAGAAGCCAGAAGCTCCAGTGCCAGGACAGATTGGAGATGACATATCCACTCACAATCGGTGTGAGATTGTTTGAAATCATGACGCTGAAATTCCAAAGTCCAATACGTCTCCCTCGCTCGTGCACAAAGAATACATCCGTGATTGAAGCGGTACCTGCCATCGCAAAAAAGCCGCCCATTCCAAGACCTACGATGATAAGTCGATAGTGCTCAAATTGTTCCAGAAAGATCTTTACTAGAACTCACCTTGTATTGCGCGCGCCCCCAATAGGGAATTGTATGAACTTGCTGCGCCAGCCCAGCAACATCCAGCCACAATAATAATCGTCGTTACAAGATACACCATTCGCTTTCCGTATACTTCGGCTATACAGGGACAAAGGTATGCGCTCACACCAAGAGTCATGATCAAACTCCCATTCAGAAGAGCCATATCAGTCAGTTGCACATCGAGCAATATGGCGACCGTAGTAAAACCAGGCACAAGAACTGGCCCTAGTGACCCGGCTGCACATGCCCCGAAGACAATAGTCCCGAAGAGGAGTTCTTTCTTATATCGAGGCCATTTCAATGGATCTAATGGCGAGTCGGATGGCTTGGGGACAAGGATGAGTCGCGTCTCGATTCCGTCTGGATCTGATGCACTGCGCAAATTCTCTAGGAGATTCGTTCCAGATGGGATTGTGCTTGACACTGGCTCCAGAATTCCGAAAGCCATTTCGATTTTACTTTGAAGAATAGATGTGGCGATTTGCTCACTAAGGAAGCTGTTTCGATTTTCTTCTAAATATGAAGATAATGAAAAAGACTGGATACATGTTTCTAGAGCAAACCATTGCGGCTTCTTATATCTTAAATCCATTTCAGTCTATCTAGACTTTTGGTATCTAATACATGCCATTAGTTTCATCTAATCAAGTGGCTTGATTGATGTGATCTTAGTCTTATCAGACAATCAGGCGGCTCAAACATGCCGCCGTGATAGCTTCATGTCACGGCATTATCCGAGGTTCAGCCGATCTACAACTAACCAACCAACTCGTCAGAGTCACCAATAAGTAACCATGAGGTAATATCTTCATATCTTTTACAATTCAGCATTTGCCCCCGAGAAAAGATAAATAGCGAACTATTCATCTTTCCTGGAAGTTTTTGTATTCACAGAAATAACACAACTTTGCGGGACAACTCAGCTACAATTCAGCAACAATGACCCAAACACCGATACCACCCAGATATGTACGAGTCGCAGTAACACAATTTGAACCTGTTTGGCTCGACTTGCAAAAGACAGTTGATAAAACATGTCTTCTTATCAAAGAAGCGTCTGTAAATGAAGCACAGCTGGTATCATTCCCAGAATGCTGGATACCAGGGTATCCATCATGGATATGGTAGCAGTTCCTTCACTCATAGATTTTTAGTTCCCGCTAACGATGAATACTTCTTCAAGGACTCGAAGTGTTGATTTTGATCTCTCTACTACCTATATCAAGAACTCATTACGCATCGATTCAACCGAGATGGGTCGCATATGTGCAGCAGCGAAAGAAGGCAATATATCAGTCGTGTTAGGTTTTAGCGAGAATTGGAATCACTCTCTTTACATTTCTCAAGCAATAATCGATCATGAAGGCATCATACAAGTGAAACGTCGAAAGCTTAAGGCTACACATATGGAGAGAACTGTATTTGGCGAGGCATCGGGATCATCGTTGACGAACGTAGTTGATCTCGCTGGCATTGGACGAGTGGGAGCTTTAGCTTGCTGGGAACATGCACTTCCTCTACTCAGATACCACAGTTATAGCCAGCGCGAAAGTATTCACGTCTCCCAGTGGCCACCAATATGGGAACATAGTGGAGGACCTGATCTTTGGTCCATGTCCAGAGACGGTATGTGTTTATATTACCATTTGGAGATGATTAAGTTAATGGAGTTTCTTTAGGAAGCCGAACTCTTTCGCAGGCATATGCCATAGAGTCACAATCATTCGTCTTGCATACTACAGCAGTGCTAAGTCAGGACGGAATCGATAGAATGGATACTAGTAATGGTCTTGTTATGAACATGCCTGGTGGAGGCACTTCTGCCATTTTCGGCCCAGATGGACGAAAATTGTCCCAAGATTTGCCAGATACAGTTGAGGGTTTCTTATATGCAGATCTCGATCTAGATGAAATTTTGAAATCGAGGAGTTTCTTGGATGTTTGTGGTCATTATAGTCGACCTGATTTGCTGAATATAAGGGTTAACGACATAGAAAGGGTTTTGGCCGACAGTGCGTAAAGTTACTTGATAGACGATGGATAATATTTCATTCCTTTCCTTCTAAGCTGTCTCTGAAAAAAACATAAGTGCCTTCCTACGAACTTCGGTGTACCCAATTTCACAACTTCAAATTCGCATGATTGTCTCAATCGACAAGAAGCATGCCGCCTCGTACTAGTTTTTCAATCACAAAGTCAGTTTGATCGCTACTGGCAGCCGCGGGTGAATCTTTCGTGCATGGTGTCATTTTGAATAACCATTCTCGTTTTATTAGCTTTTTTTCATTTATCACTAGAATTGAAAATCTGTATCAATAACTCTTTCAATCACTTATGCTCTGGCTAATTCTGCAATCACACAGTATTTGTCACTACAATTCCAATCATTCTTCAATCATGATAGAATCCGAGCCTCTGAATAATCTATCTAGTATCATTCTCAAACCAACTACACATATGGAGTAAATAAGCCTATCAAAACGAGACCCCCGAGATAGAGCAGTGATTTGCTAGATGTTAATACATGGCCGATCGAAGGAGTGGGGTTTGCAGTAATCGCACTTGTTTTTCGTTATCCAGGCGGCTCCAACTTGCCGCCTCCAAAGGCTAACTTTAAGCGAAAAAGGGGACGCTTAGGTGTGCATGATCTGCGAATATCAAACTAAACTAATGAAGTGTTCGTAAGTTGATGGAGATAAAGATAAGGAGTCATAAGCGCTGCTAATGAATAAGATTGCAATCTAGCAAGGAGTGTTCCAATTTATTTCAAATTTTAGTATATAATTGAACATTATGCTAACATGTCCACTCCTTTATCAATGTGGAAGTACTTTCATCCCGAATCATTATGTATTGATTCCCCGATTCAGCACAAAATTATCTCGTTAGTAGATCCGAGAGGGAATCAATTATCCGTAATGTCTAGCTTAGATTCTCACGAGATCATTCAACGCTGCCGTATAGATTAATAAACGCGGAAGGGAGTATTATCGCTTACAACATTAAGAGCTAGTCACTCACTCTACTTTCATCCTCGCTAAGACATTTAATCATCTCGTCTGACATCTACGGATAACGTTGTGTACATCCGATGTCTAATCTGGTCTCTCAGACTATGTCCATTTATATCATCTTTCATATCATCTCGGGGGTCTTGGAATTTTTTTGCTTTTTCATGAGGATTTCAAAGTGCTTCGTGAATATAATAAGCCATTTGGAATTTTTTATGCATACAGGCCTCAAACGCCAAAAACCACTAAACAAAGCAGCCAAAAGCTGATCTTGGGTCATTCGACGTATGCCATTTATTCATTTGGACCGAATGAAGCCTATATCACGCGTGTCTGGGATTTTTGGTTTATTTTGGTGTTCTTAAAGCCCAGTGGCACAGGCCTCAAGCACCAAAAGTCCTGTCTCGTGGACTGTCTATGCACGTTTTGATTCATTTGGGCTCGTTCGAGATTATAATACCATTCTTGGATGTTCTTCAGCCCATATAAAGGTCATGATTGCACTTAAATACACGATGAAGTATTCAGAGATTCTTTCCGAGGATGTCCCGGGTATTCCCGACTCATTTTGACTAGATAATACCTGGAAGGATATTCTCCAGTACCACCTGGGCATACAGTTTATTCTTAGGGTCATCAAAGTTTAGAAGTGAATTGTTAAGTGACTCAAAATTCCTAATGATTCGAAAAGCACCTTGAGCTTGCGTGTGAATCACCCTAATTCAGTGACTGTGTCGCATTTCGAAATTGTTTTGACTCGAAATCTCTGTTATGACTGTTTACGGCCACAAGCCACTCATATACATCGATATGAATGTGAAAACACCACATCTTGAGGTTTGATTACTCTACAAGTCAACAAAATGATGATTAATCGCCCTGAATCACACATATTTTGTATTTTAGGTATGAATGTACTTAAATTCGAGGACTTTTGACTCGAAATGGAACGGAATGACGCAGGAATACCTTGAGAGTACCTTGAATGACACAGAATAGATAAAAGTCTTTATGAATGTATATGATTTCGAGGCAATTTTGACTCGAATGACATGTTTCCTAGCGTCATTTCCAGTGTTCAATTGTGCTTATATACGATCGGTTCTGCTCCTTCTGTAGCTCTTCTTTTCTCGTCGACAATAAGCTGTACCAAAACACTTACCAAATTTCTCAAGCATACCACACAAGATCTTTACAAGAACACGCCTGCCTCTTACTACAAAAGTCCTATGTAAGACAGCATCAGTGGCATACAACTACACCATAGACTGAGAGCTCTACCTCTACATAGCAGCCCCTTCGTTGCCTGTTTTTACGAGTATTCTAGTGCGTTTCACCCTTCATTCGAGCTCCTGAAATCACTGTTTATTTTTTTTCTTGATCGAATACAGGCTTCGGTAAGTCACGCTACCTATAATGTATGAGTTTGAAACCTAAATGATGGCAGCAACTTAGCATCAGACGTCGCATGCCCCTGATATCTGATCGATATTTTACATTCAAGGTATTTGACATGTTCTAATCTCAACCCTGTATCAATGGTAGCTGACAAATATCAATAGCATGTCGAGTTGTGATCAATCTTATTTTTACATTGGTGAATATACATTCGAAGGCATCGAATATCCGCTTTATCAAGATAGATACGGATATAAGTATTACAAGAGAAATGACCAACTTTATAACGCGGAAACTCCAGAAGTCAGCCACGATGAACCTCAGACCCAAGCTCCTTTCGTCCGTAACGTCGCCCCAAGCTGGAGCCCAAGTCCCAAAGGTAAAGAGCCAGCATCTAGTGATAATTTCGCTACGGAGCAAGGAAGCCAGTCCTACAGCTCAGGAGCCGGCTACAACTCCGCTCCAGCTTATAGCCCTACATACTGTACGACGGGTGGACTAAGCACGACGCCAACTTATATGGGTGCAGCTCCTACATTTGACAACCTCCCACCGACGTCTCAATCAAATAATCCTTATCTTGTTACAGAATCATTCTATAATTCGGATGGAAAACCACCAGGCTACAATCCTCCCGCAGCCAATGCAGATTTCGCCTCAGACGATACTTCTACTTCTACAAAATGCAGTTATCTACTACCGGTGCCTGCCACCCCTTCATATTATGCCTCTCCAGATGCAGACAAGAGGCCAGACATGATACCGTGTAATGCCCCTTGCAAAAAAACAAAGTTCATATGTAGTTACCACGAGGGAAAATATCAGTACGGTTACGAATGTATATCAAAGATCTATCAGCGGGATGGTCGTGGGCAATACATAAGAGGCCTGGACGGATTGCCAGCGGCCGTCCAAGTCCGATACCCCGATGGAAGAATAGGAGATCAGATTTGCCGAAATCCAGCGGTTAGTCAAAAGTTCTTCTGCCATGAATGCCGCCCAGTGTGGTTGCCATGCTATTATGGATTGGCACGCGATCGTACATGGGGATGCAAGAATTCTGCGCAGCCAGAATTTCCATGGGATAAAATTGTCAGCTGCATCCAGCACTTTGACATCAAGAGCTTTATACCTAACAAGAATAAACTACCGCCAAACACATTTGGAAATCCAGAAGATCATGAGAAGTCGGTCAAAAATCCCGCTCCATCGGGTCCTTCTAGAAGCTCGGGTAAATCGGGACGCTCGAGAGGGAGCTACAACACTGAAACACGTTCTTATCCTCAAAGAGAGAATGCGGTGAATAGGGACGGTGTCATTTTAGAGAGTCCAAGACAAGATTCCCATAGATTACAACAACAGACGCGTCAAAAAGTAGCAGAGAGAAATCGGGAAGCGGATGAAAATGAAGCCAGGGAGAATGAACGGCGAGACAGGGATACTCAAGCGGAGCAGGAAAACTTGAGAAGGTATACTGAAGCGCTTGAGAGCATTGGAAAGTCAGAACGAAAAAGAAGATCACGCAAATAGTACACTCGCCAGTTGAGATTAGTCGGTTGCTTTACTAAATACAAAAAAATCGTTGCTTTTTATATCTCTTCCCCTCTTTGAATAACACTCCAGTATACCCGTCACCCCCAAAAACCACTTATTTTTTTCAGACTCGGCTTCTAATCCCATTTCAAATATCATACTTCTGAGTCAACCCACCCACCGGAATCTTCACCTTAAACACCAATGCTTGATTATCAAGATTATATCCACTCCCATCACTATACGCGAACTTTCCTCCCTCCAAACACCCATCTTGCGTGATAAAATCGTTATCACTCAGACTGAAAATATACTATATCAATCCTTCATTAGCAAGAATCCCTATCTCCTTTTCCCCAAGGAACAAAACTTACCCATTCCCCATCCGCACCCTCCTTCCCATCAACAGGCACCACAGCAATACTCTCCCACTTCTCATTCAACAATCCTTTATCCGTCTTCCCCCCATTGTGTACTCCAAATCTCTTCAACTCATCATTATCATTAACATCCAACCACGCACAATAGGTTGCCGTTTTAATTCCGCTCCCTAGAACCCCCGTCGAGCTCGCAATCGCACAACTAGCGCAATCGTATTTCGTCCCCTTAACATTCGTCGCGTTGCTAATATCGAAAATGTCTATCTGTCTATAAATACTCTCCGTGCTATCCTGTCCATTTCCTGACCCCGAATCTCTCGCCAGAACCAAGAATTGTCCATTAGGTAACGCATGAATTTCAGACTGCGCAGCTACTTTTGGGTTTTTACTAGCTTTAGCCGTTGGGTCTGTCCATAAAGGAAGAGGGACCACATGTTCACTCAAATATAATGGGTTTCTCGGGTCTGAGATATCGTATGAGAGAAAACGGCTATAGCGTTCTGTTTGAGATTTCAAACCGCCTTCCTGATTATTTGCTGCTTGGAGAAGTGTGTAGAGAGTTTTTCCATCGGCAGATATACTGAGACCTTCGAATCCATGGTTATTATCTCTACCAGTAGGATTATCGGCAGGTGAGACGTCATCGCCAGAACCTTGGTCGGGATAATGGTAGGGAGAGTCAGCGGAGAAAGATTCGCTGCCATTACGCATGGGAATGAAGGCATCTGGTGGTCGTATGGCGGATGTCATTGTGCCGGTAGAGTTAAAGTGGTAAATATAGGGGCCCTAGTGGATAGTTAGACAAGGTGAAACATTAGGAGACAGGGGAAACATACATATTCATCACTAACCCACCACCCTCCAGCTCCATCCAACACCAATCCCTCAGCATCAACCGATACCCTCCTCCCTCCCGTCCCGTTTCCTCCGAATCCATCGCCCGTATACGTCGCCACGGGCAAATCTGGAAACCCCGCATAACTCAAATGACCCGATCCATCCGCGTCCAGCCCTGTCGTTGGCGTCCCATCCGGTCCAGAAAACAGAACCGTGTCAGTATATTTGAACCACAAATTATTTCCCGAAGGGCTTTTCACTGTCGCATTAGCCGCTGGAGTGAAAACGATGTCGAATTTATGAACCCGGGGTTGAAAGTTTAGGGTGCCTTCTGTATTCCTGTTATGTCTGTTAGAACTCTCAATCAACCTGCTTCCCCAAATACCTCAAGCAACTTAGCCGTAACTCCAGGAACGATAGATAAGTGGTAGATTAAGGGGGAAAAGGGAACTGAAATGCAACGAACCATCCCCTATCAGGCAAGGCCCACAAAACACCCGTATAACTACCATTCTCTAACTTCTCCCAACTCTTTGTGTCAATCGCGATCGCACTCCCAATCCCGCCAATTGTGTCCCCGAATTTATCACGTGCAGTACCTGGAATATATCCATAGCCTCCTAGTGCCTGATACGTATATGTGTTTCCATTACACATAGTTTGATTAACGTATGAATTGCTTTGAGCTGCTGCCAGCCCAAAGAGAGGGGTCACTGCGAGGAACTTTCTTAAAGACATCACTAGAAATCTTATCAACAGTACCAATGCCAACAAGAAAAGAAGTAAAGATACACAGGAACATTGTAAAGATCGCGGGGTAACATGGAGAACATATATTCCTTGCTTCGGGTGAAGCGGGTGCCAATATACACGAAATAAATTGACGATCAAAGGATCCGTATTGCCACCGGAAAACCGACCAATGAATGATGCAACGTGCCTGAAGTTGAAGATGCGGAAGCTTCTCAGCTTTCTTGCCCCAGGTACAATTTTCCAGATGGTTGCACTGAAGGATGAACTAATGACGAAGATTATGCAAGAAGGGAAGGTCACCATGACTTGTGGTTAAATACATGCACGTTGTAGCGTTGAGAGTCTTGATTGGCCAGCTTACTCTGACTGGGATATTTGCCATGGAGTAACCTGTGCAATGCATATCAGTATGAAAAATACCTACCAAGTACTTTATGAAGAATTGTCACATTAAAAAATTCATAATTCCTTGATGCCATATTTATTGTGATATCTGAAAATGCTTCTGCATTTCTTTCATATGTCGTATCTCATTCCCATTTCATTTCGCTCAATGCCTTAAAAATTGCTCAAACTTCCTCCACCAACTGACACATGCACAATGTGCCTCCTAAATTCAAAGGTATCGAGAAATGAAAAATTGCTTCGCAAATGCCTATTGTGTATCGTCTCACGATGTTCATCGGAGAATTGAACCTAAACAGAAAATTACTTTTTTAGATAACAATATCATTCTGATCCTTCGTAGTAACTCCACGTAGGTAGCGACATTGCTCCTAAGTATGTGATATCATTGGGCGAAAAAGTAAAAGGAAAAAATCATTATCCAGATCGGACACCAGTTTGTCCTGCTAGATGTATATGGAAGTTGTTTAGAGATCATAAACATCCCAACCATCAAGTTTATTGGCATTGTAGTTGATTCGGCGTTTTTGATCTGAGGGTGGGTTTTCCGGTCGTGCAAAGTCGATCCGTAGCTCCTCGTCAAGTCACAACTCATCTTCATCGTCGAGTTCCGCAGGCTTAATGAGTCCTCCGACCTTGGACAGACGTTCGCGTTCTGCGGCCTTGGCATCTCTTTCGGCTGTCTCTTTCTCCTCGGCGTATAGCTCGGTGTTGTCCCCAGCAAACTCCTTCAACGAGATTAAGAAATCCCGTAAGTTAAGTCTGAATCGATCTGCAGAATGATTCAGAGTGAAGAGACCCTCAACGAAGGCTTGGATTTGAGGTCTAAAATGGATTAGTAAGGTATACTGATAGAGATAAGGGCAATGACTTACGCTTGAAGGTTAGGGAAGGCATTCTGCAACAAACTAGCCACGAAGTTTGTAAGGAAATCCTTGTTGCTTGTGTTTGGTGGCGCTTGGTCCTGGACATAGATAGGCATTTGAATCTTTGGCGCAGTACCGTCAGCTGGGTGAACAAAGTAAAACATTCTTGCCAACAAAGTTGCTTGTGACTTGAATCCAGCTTTGTGATCGGTATCGGTGAGCACAAAGAATACATCCTGGAGGATTGGGACGAAGAATTGCTGGAAGAAAGCACTAGACGTGGCAGGGTCCGTTTCTGCAATGTTGGTGATCAACTCCAAACACATGTTGAGACCGGCATGTTCAACCTCTCTATTGTCGTGCTTACTAGCCCACATGCAAGAATCGATGACAAACTTGAATTGTCTGTTATCGAGTTTGAGGAGAGCTGGGAAGCAGTGAAGGTTGATTGCTCGGAGAAGGCTGAAAAATTCTACACGGTGTTCTGGGAATTCCGAGAAATCCTTGTTGATCATTTCCAGAGTGCATTCGAACACGTTTGACATAATGTTTGGCACTTGATCTTCCATGAGGCCCTATATTGGATGTTAGTAAGTGCTAGATGCATCTCCAAGGTAAGGATGCTAAGATAAGAAAGGGTATGTATGCACCACTGAATATTTCGAGCGATATGGGGTCCAACGTACAGAAAGTTTGGTTATGATAACAGACATGACCTTGAGAACTTCGGCATCACGTGCACCTGGAACATTACGGTTGTAATCAATCAGGACCGCTTCAAGAAGGTTTGGAACAATGTTGGTTCGAACCATCTCAAGATCATCGGATTTCTCAACGAACGTTTCAATGAGCTTGAGAATCTCCTTCTTGATAGTTCTTAGACCTCGAACTCTAGGCATCTTGGTGGCAATTTCACCTATTTATAATTAGTGTCAAGAATCGTAAACACGTTATGAGAGAACAACTTACCCTCACTTGCAACGGCTTCAGAAATCATTGTGCTAGTAGCCTTGTACATGGACAACATATCCAGGTAAATGCGTCCAATTTGAGGATAGAAGTAGCTTCCGATGGAGGAACAAGCAGACACGTTAGTCTTCATGACATTACCAATGACCTTGATGGTATCTGCGTCTTGAAGAATTTGGGGGTTAGTGTTTGCTTGGGCAATGATGGCATCCCAAGCAGCGTTTGGATATGACATCAACTCAGCAATGAGTCTTTCTTGTGAATTCTTCTGTGGTTGAGCTGCAATCATGTAACCACATGCCTCGTAGAAAGTGTGTACTTGCTGTGGGGATAGATCACAAGTAATCTTACGCATGGTCCTGACGATTTCCTCGATAAATGGTTCAGACTCGCCAGGTTGTAAAGCAACAAAATGACGTTTGCACTGTCTGGCAATCTTGATGAAAGTATCACAAGCCATGTCTTGAACACCCTCGTGGGACTCGTGCATGAACTCGAATAATTTGTTGACGACGGTCTTCAAGAACTTCCAGTGAGCCTTCAAGAAACGTGGATATTGACCAACGATATACATAATGTTACTGGCAACCACGGCTTTGTTGTCCTTTCCTCGTTTCATCTCAGTCAACCCGAGCAAATCCTTGATGACAGTGACCAAGAAACGTTTCTCAGTCTCTTCGTTCATTGCAAGGGAGATGGAGCCGATAGCCCAGCACAATGTGTTACAATTGGCCCACGACCATTCGGTACCATCGACTTGTCGAGATAGCTTCTCAGTCATGATGTT